AAGCATCTTAGAAACAGAAAGGAAAATAATCCTAAAATCACAGCCACATAGAAAACACATTTAGAAAATGATACAAGAAAAATGAGTCCCAAAAGAGAGAGAGAGAATGGATCGATCATTTATAAAGGGAAGAAAACATGCTACAACTCATGTACCCTAGAAAAAATATCTTTCACAAGTGAACCGATAATTATTGGGATAAAGGAACGATGAAGAGCTGTACTAATGATCCATTCTCCAACCTTGGGGATGTTCTTATCCTGAGAGTATATATGATGCAAGAGATTTAATGGCAATTACTAGCAGGTATCTTTTAAGATGCCTTAATGCTCGAGAGGTTTGGAAGTTATCAGAAGGACATAGGATTGGCCTCTCAGCAGCAGTATCTAGAAACCTATTCAATTCCAACTCAAGCAGCTATGTTTTCCTTTGCCATGCTACTTCTAGCAATAAGAGTTTCTTTTAACATCAAGGACCAGGGCTGTAATGCATATTCTCTACATAACAATTCATAGACTTCATACCTGTCTCTAAAACTAAGAGCAAGAAACGGCAATGAGAAAATAATTCTAAGTGAAAGAAACTGATCCTCATATTGGCACTTTAAAAATCTAAATTTATTCCTTATATTGAGCTTGGCCATGACCAGGACGTATTGATTGTACAATAAGTACAATTAAATGTATATTTTAACCATGTATAAATAGATAATTATAATAATGGATTATAAGGTATTTATCAGATATACAGTCCCAAAAAAATGTGTTAAGAGGGGGACAGAGAGTGGCACAGTGGTAATATGTGACTCTGTGAGTCTGGTCCATGTGAGAAGGTTTCTGGTTCACGTGACCAGAAATCTCACTAAATACACAAGGCATGCATGGGGAAACTCACTCTCTTTCTCTCTTCCTCTCTCCCTCTCACCCATAGAAGTAATAAATAAATAAGTTTTATAAAAGAAAAACTCACAAAAAATAACAATATTATTTTAAGAAAATTAAAAATATATTCACTTTTAATGCTGTTCATCTGATAGATTAAAAAAATCATCTTCTCTTTTTAAAAAAGAGAGCAACAGTATTTGCAGACTGCCTATTAGAAATTTGCCGTCTTCATTTGAGGGTACCACTTATCACAAACCATAAAAGTCACAACCTTGCACATTTAACTACATTACCAGGTTAGTATTTTTCTCAAGATTAAAAATAAGAATAGCATAGGACCAGCTGTTGGCATAATGGATATGTTGCTGGATTCCCATGTGGTTGACCGCAGTTCGAGTCCTTGACTCAGTGGCTTAAACTCACACTGGGCATGTGTGTGGGCGTGCTCAAGATCCTGAGAGGAGAAGGGAGGAGAAGGGACTGCAGTTTGGCCATCCCCCTGGTGGTGGGGGGGGGTGATGTCTCGCTTTCTGTCTCTCTGTCTCTCTCTGTCTTTCTGGCATGTGCACATGTCCTATAGCTAAAGCCTCTTTTTAAAAAAAATAATAAAAAGAATAGCTCTATAATATGTAGATCTAATAAAGCTTACACAAACCTATAAAGAAAAGTTGGGATAAATGGTAGCCAGATATATTTTACAGACTCTGTTTACCAGCAGTTTCTAATAAAAGAGAGAAAATAAGACAAATTCCAAAAGAATATTCAGTCTGGATTCCCATGTGGTTGACCGCAGTTCGAGTCCTTGACTCAGTGGCTTAAACTCACACTGGGCATGTGTGTGGGCGTGCTCAAGATCCTGAGAGGAGAAGGGAGGAGAAGGGACTGCAGTTTGGCCATCCCCCTGGTGGTGGGGGGGGGGGTGATGTCTCGCTTTCTGTCTCTCTGTCTCTCTCTGTCTTTCTGGCATGTGCACATGTCCTATAGCTAAAGCCTCTTTTTAAAAAAAATAATAAAAAGAATAGCTCTATAATATGTAGATCTAATAAAGCTTACACAAACCTATAAAGAAAAGTTGGGATAAATGGTAGCCAGATATATTTTACAGACTCTGTTTACCAGCAGTTTCTAATAAAAGAGAGAAAATAAGACAAATTCCAAAAGAATATTCAGTTTGATGACATCTCTATCTCTATATTAAAATTCAGGTATAACCTGATCTCATTTTATGAACTCTAGTAAGTCATTCTATGTAGGCTTCTATGTAGTTATAAACCTTTAACATTATTCCATTGATGGAGTTATTGATAAATCTACTGTATCCATGTAAGTTAACTTCATGCGTCCTATGGTCTATTTTTATAGTAATGGCCTAATCCTTTTCCAGATAGATAAATAATGCATTTTTAAAGGGAATAAAACACCCTAACTACATAACTGTATAAAGCATTCAAAGTTAACTACTTCAGAAAGATAGAGAAGGTGGAGCACAGAGAGAGAGAGACAGAAGATGGCTGAGAGAGGCAGAAAAAGAAACAATAAAAGAGAAAAACAAAAAAGAGAAAGAGAAGTAACTCTTTGGTGAGTATGAAGATGTCCAAGATACCAAAACGTCATTCCCAAAGATTTGGGGAACTAAAAGTTAACACATCTTTATTTTATAAAAAAATAAAATGGAAAGATAGATGAATAGAAAGATGAGAGAAAGGCAGATAGATAAAGATCTTTTAGCTCTCTCTGACTCCATGATTTTCATCATTTGTAACTCAGTGATTTGCTTCCTATACTGCTTTGGAATACACAGCATCTTCTTCACAGATCCATAGTGCTTCCATAAGTGTAGTTTCTATATTCAACAAACATTTTACTGGGTTGGTGCAAAGGTAATAGAGGTTTTGCATAGTTAAAATTTGCAGTATGATTTTGAATACATTCTTCAATGTGGTTAACTTATACATCATTTTAATGCACATTTCTTGCTTTATGTTTTGTTCTTTTTCTTTCTTGCTAATGAGTTATTACTTGCTGTTTATTTCATATGTATTTTAGACTAGGAAAATGATGCTAGACAAAAAGCAAGTTTGAACAATTTTCTTATCCAAGTTCAAAATGGATCGTAAAATAGCAGAGACAACTCACAAGCTCAACAACGTATTTGGCCCAGGAACTGCTAACAAATGTACAGTGCAGTGGTGGTTCTAGAAGTTTGCAAAGGAAATGAGAGCCTTAAAGCTGAGGAGCGGCAATGGCTGGCCATGGAAATTGACAATGACCAATTGAGAACATCATGGCAGTTGATCCTCTTCTAGTTACAGGAGAAGATGCTGAAAAACTCAACATCAACCATTCTATAGTCATTTGGCATTTAAAGAAAATTGTAAAAGGGGAACCAACAGTTAGCGTAATGGCTATGTTGCTGGACTCCCACGTAGTGGACCATGGTTCACGTCCGGGACCCGGTGGCTTAAAACTCACGCCAGGCGCATGTGCGTGCGTAACCAAGATCCCGAGAGGAGAATGGAGGAGAAGGGATTGAGCCGTGACCATCCCCCCTGGGGGGTGATTTCTTGCTTTCTGTCTCTATGTCTCTCTCTGTCTGGTGAGCGCACACGCCCTATAGTGAAACAACCCCCGCCCCCCGCAAAAAAGAAAGAAAATTGTAAAGGTAAAAAACTCAATAAGTGGGTGCCTCATGAGTTGACCCAAAATCAAAAACATCACAGTTTTGAAGTATTATTTTCTTTTATTCTACATAACAACAAACTATTGATTAGATTGTGACATATGACGAAAAGTGGATTTTTTTTTTTTTTTGGAGAAGTTTTTGCTATAGGGCACATGCGCTTGCCCGAAAGACAGAGAGAGAGAAACAGAAAGTGAGAAATCACCCCCCAGGGGGTATGGTCACACCACAATCCCTTCTCCTCCATTCTCTTCTCAGGATCTTGAGAACACACGCACATGTGCTCAGCGTGAGTTTAAACCACCGGGTCCGGGACTCGAACTGTAGTCGACTACATGGGAGTTCAATGACATAGCCATTATGCTAACTGCTGGTCCCAAAAAGTGGATTTTATGTAACAATCACTGATGACCTGTTCAGTGACTGAAGCTCCAAAGCACTTCTCAAAGCCAAATGTGCACCATTAAAAAGTCATGGTCACTGTTTGGTGGGGTCTACAGCTTTCTGAATCCTGGTGAAATCATAACATCTGAGAAACACGCTCAGCAAATCGATGAGATGCACAAAACTGCATCATCTGCTGGTATTGGTCAACAGAAAGGGCCTAATTCTTCTTCATAGCCATGTCCATCTCCACATTACACAACCAAGGCTTCAAAAGTTGAATGAACTGGGCTACAAAGTTTTGCCTCATCCACAATATTCACCTGATCTCTTGCCAACCTACCACTTCTTAAGGCATCTCTACGTTTTCCAGAGAAAATGCTTCCACAACCAGTAGAATGAAGATGATGCTTTCCAAGAGTTCGCAGAGCCCCAAAGCATGGATTTCTATATTACAGGAATAAACACACTTACCTGTTGTTGGCAAAACTATGTCGATCGTAATAGTTCCTATTTTGATTAATAAAGATGTGTTTGAGCCTAGTTATAATGATCTAAAATTCATGGTCCAAAATCTCAACTGCTTTTGCACCAACCTAATATACATAAATCATTTTAAAATTTTAAATAATTAAGTGGCCTGTTTATGTATTTTACACAATTAAAATCTCAAGTGGAAACTCCACTTCTAATTATCTTCCTGTTAACAACTAAATATTAACAAAAAGAAATATTCCGGAGTATCATAGTTTGATTCTATTTAATTCCTACTTACTTTCCCATAATTCAGTGTGCAGCTGCTCCACAAGGGTACTTTCTAAGAGTAATGTGCTATCTCTGTTTAACTATTTCTGTGGTTACAGTTTGATTTCTAGCAACTTGTTTTTATTTACCCAGTGTTCTCTCCTACCTCATTTTATGATTACGAACTTTGAACGGCATATGCCAATTGAGTGCACAGTGAGAGACAAATACTGAGTAAACCATGGGTTATTCATCTAAAAGGGCACCGCCAAGCACAGTCATGCTTCCGCGTTTGTATGGTGCGATACCTGGACATCTATACAGCTTTCTTGCCTGTGCAATATCTCCTTTGCTTAAACGGGTTCGCTGACCAATTGCTGGACGTATGCCGTTATCATCACGGGAGGGGAGAATGGTATCCAGAAACATCCCCCTGGAAAAAAAAAAAAAAAAAAAGAAACAGAAGAAAACCAAACCTGAGTCACCAAATTAAAGCTCACATATTCCTTACAAATATAAGCGGGTTTTTAATGCAAATCAATCAAAAGGGAACTACATCAGCATGAGCTTTAATCAGTGTACCAGGTTCTCAAACACTTTCATCAAGTAGGAAAAAAATGTGGATGCTAAGGGTGTGTGCCCAGCATGAAATCAATGACATCGCTTTTTCCTTAGACATGTATACTGCATTTTTTCAGTGGATTACTCTATAGTCCCCTCTAGTATAACAGGCTTTTCTTTTGGTCTTCAAGTAGATCTATGAATTTCTTCCATTGCCAACCTGTAAAATAATTCTTCCTCACAGAGATCTATTTTCTTAATAGCAATCCACAGTAAACAAGTTTGAGGTTACTAAAATGTTTAAAGACAAACAAAATATGCGTAAGTTAATTTTCATCAATTAAATTACTGCTACTTAAGTACTCTTAGATGTCCAAGCATTACAACATATGTTAAAGAACAAAGAAAAATTAAGAATGCCAAAATTTACATGGAACAGTATAAAGCAAAATGTTTACAGATATGTATACACACACATATATATATACATACATAATTTGTCAATATTTCATAGTAAAATTAATAAGTAAAAATTTGGTCAATGCTTTAATAATGCTAATTTAAAGACAGAGTTGTTATGGACTCAAGGTTATAGTAGAAGACAACTATTTTTCTTAATATGCATGACTTAAAATTCTGAATGTAGTATACTAAAACTACATTCTAAGTTTGCAATGTATGGTAAACATTTATACCTCTAAAGGCAGTCAAGACCTTAAAAGTTACATGCACTAGGATAGTATTGCAAAAGGCTGAGAAAATATTAAGTGTATAAGTGTGTATTTCTTTTTTGTAAAGAACTTTCTGTAAAAACACATTTCCTGCATTTAAACTGTAGGTTAAAATAACTTATCAGCACTATTTATTCTTTTTATTAGTACATATTTACTAAGCACCTTTCTAGGTTAGGATTTACAGCAGTAAGCAGAACAACCAAAAATTCCTTTCTCATAATGTTTATATTATAATGTGAGAAGAAAGGAATTAAACGAAAGATTGAAAATCCTGGTATTTATTAATAAATACTGAGGATATAAAGGTGAGAAGATGGATATTGATTGCACAGGCATGGGTAGATTGTAAATAGGATGCTCAAAGAAAAACTTACTTGAAAGTTGACGTTTTAGCCAAACATAAAGGAAGTGAAGCTCAGAACATTATGGTAACTGGGAGTAGAATTTCCAGAGACAAAGAAAAAGAAATACAACAGTCAAGAGTGCCCCTAAAGTGTTTGAACACTACAGATAATTTAACTTTACCCTAAGAAAAACTGTTCATCTATAAGAAGTAAACAGAGGATCTACCTAATCTTAGAAAAATTTAAACTTCCCTAGTTTCTGGGTAAAGGGGAAGGGTAGTAATTTTTATATGCAATCTAGATAACTCAAAGAAGAGACTAGAACTCTTTAAAACCAGATCTAAGGATTTAGAGAACTCCATGTACACACTGCCTGGAATAAAGTTAGAGAAGTGAAAACTAATGATTTATGGGAATTGACCATCAAATCTGAGAGCTTGAACATATCCAGTAAGATGCAACTCTACAAAGGCCAGTGTAATTAAAAGGATATAACTGAAAGAGGAATGTAGGTCATACATTGGCATGGAGAATCCTCAACTTTCAACAACTGCTACATGAATCAACAGATACATAGGTCAATCCAGATTAATGAAGAGTTGCCATTTCCTCAGTACTTCACTACTAACAGAGTATTCACTATTTTCTATTTTAATTTTTAAAAGCATATTTGTAATCTGTGGAAAGTTTGATTTTATTCTAGCCTCAAAAGAGATTCCATTGAAAAAGGTCAATAACATCTTAGAGAAAATATATCCCATTTCAGACAATAGAGTGATGAATTTTGTCTCACTCTGTGTACTAAGATAACTTCCTTCCATTATAAATAGAGTCAGTTACTCACTTTTGTTTTCTCTGTGGTTTGGTAATTAATAATCCTCTTCCTCCACATCCTGGCCATTTTAAGCAATGAAGACTTAGTAGCATTAATTATTGGACCTCTTCAGTAAATCTCTACCAATATGTCATAGTAGAGTTAGCTTACTAACTCTGTATTCTTCATTTGTTTTAGCTATATTAAAAGAGCAAATTTGCTATGCTCTTTTTTACAAACTTTATAAAAGTTTATAACTCTTTTCTTTAATGAAAAGTGGGCAGTCCTAATTCAAAAGTACCTACATTATAAAATATCCAAGTGTATAAAAGTCTTACAGACCCAGCTTTATTATTCCCAAAAAGTAAGTGGTTAAACATACTGATGGGCTGCATTCCTGAATATAATTGGAACTTTTAGGCTCTATAAGATCAGAACAGAAGAAATCACACAATATTTGAAATACTTAACATTAGAAAAATGAAGGATAAAAACAATATAATCATCTCAATTTATGAAGAAAAAGCATTTGATAAGATTCAA